TTCCTTCCTTCCTTCCTTCCTTCCTTCCTTCCTTCCTTCCTTCCTTCTTTCCTTCCTTCCTCCCTCCCTCCCTCCCTCCCTTTGTATTTCCTTCCTTCCCTCCCTCCTCCCACTCCCATATCCTTGGGCTTTAGGGCCATAGGAAACTACAATCCACACGAGGCCTGGGAAAACTTTGTTAACGGTTTCTTCGTCCATCATCATCTTGGAGTCACACTCTCTTATTTGGGCAAATAGAACAACCTCCCCATGGGCAGCCACTTTCCGGTGTCTGATTATTATTCCTACTGAGGTAGCCTTAGGCTTCCTCAGCCTGCCTTACAGCATACTTCCTCTGTTCCCTGGAGACTCAGATTCTTGACGACCAGCCATTATTTCCTAGAATAGAAATGCCTAACTACAGCCTGGGAAACAGAAAACTGAATAGCTCACTTTGTAGTCTTTTAAAGGAGTTCTTCTATTTTTTTCTTAATTTATAAGAAAATTAGAATCAAAACTTCCCATGGTTTAGATGTAATTTGTAGGCATGGGCTCTGTTCAATATTAAGAAAAAGAATTGTAGGCATCGTGGAACATATTTGATGTCTTTTGAGTGAATCCCTGTTTGTCTCACTTGAATCTATTTGGGATTTCCAACAAAGGGGATTTTGCTTTTTGTATGAAGACTTCTGCCTTTGGATAACCCAAAAGATTCAGTAGCTATGGTGGTTTTAATAGTAATGACCCCCATAGATTCACATGTTTGAATGCTTGGCCATAGAGAGTAGCACTATTAGAAGGTGTGGCTTTGTTGGAGTGGGGATGGTATTGTTGGAGGAAGTATGTCACTATGGAGGCGGGCTTTGAGGTCTCCTATGCTCAAGCTATGACCAGTGTGGCACACAGTCTCCTGCTGCTGCCTCCAGATCAAGATGTAGAAACCCTCGGCTCTTTCTCTAGTAACATGTCTGCCTGAATGCCAGCATGTTTCCTGCCATGATGAAAACTGACTAAACCTCTGAAACTGTAAGCTAGCCCCAATAAAATGTTTTTCTTTATAAGAGTTGCCATGGTCACGGTGTCTCTTCACAGCAATAAAACCCTAAGACGTTAGCTAACTTATGCTTGATCAGGGCATAGATTAGGGACACAGAGTTGTAAGCCCTTTTGATGAGGTAGCTGGGGCTGAAGCATTTCTGAAGGTGGCACCTGGGGAAGTTCTAATATAGTTGACAAGTAGAGGTGAGCCAGGATGAGTGTATCGTGTTGACCAGTCCATGCTCATTTGTAGACAAGGGTGGGGGAACACGATTCTGGTGGCCACCTGAAGGTGTAAGCTTCAGGTATGGCTTTGAGCATCTTCTATATGACTAGGTTATGTTGCAGCAGGAGCAACTAGGACAGCTGGGCCACCTCATCTTTTACCAGATTTTCAATGAAGGGAAAATCTGAGTAAAAGGAAATCAGTACCAGGAGAGGGGGCAGGTTGTATAGCTGAGTGGGTCCATAAGCCAAGTTACTGAGGAAGGCACCAGGATCAGAGAGGGGGCAAAGCCAGGGCGTGCAGAAAGAGATGAATGGATGCCATCAGAAGGAGCAGATCATAGGGAGAGGGCTGGTGGAAGGGCCATGGAAGCAGATGGTTGGGAGTGAGATCAGGCTGAGAATACACAGTGATGGGGGTCAAGTGGGTACAGAGCGCCTTCATTCTAAGAGGAATGGTTGCTTGTCAGAAGTGGACAGGTGTAGATTAGATCTCTCCAGGGCAATACAGGACTGAGTTTCAACCTGTTCTTTCATCATCACAAAAGCATGTCAAATATATGCTACAAACATTCCTTCATTGAGTATGTCGTGAACCCACTTCCTGCTCCTTATCATGTACAGCTGACTTGCTCTGGTCCCCTCATTGGCTAAGCTACGCTAGCTCATAGCTTCTTTGTGCAGAAAAATCACTGCAAATGTGAGGATCTTTCATTGAGAGTTCCGTCCCCCATTTTTTAACCATATTTACTAAACTCCATAACCTGTTTTATGGTGCCTTTAAGAAGACTTACCTGATTTTCAAAGATCTTGCCTGCCTCTGAGTGCTCCCTGAACTGACTATCAGTTTGTTTTAGATTTAGGCAATTGTTTCCATGAACTATAATTTAGACTTGAATTTCATATTTTTAAAAAAATCACTTTGTCATATATGTATATCATGGATTTATTTTCCTGGAAGAGTCTCAAGAACTAGAATATATCTTCTGATTTTTCATCCTTCTAACCAACATTGACTAGCATGATTCCACACACACGGTAAGTACCTTTGGAGGCAGATATCTACCCAGTACATATGTATGTATGTGCGTGTATATGTTCTAGTCAATTGAAGGCTTCTTGCTAAGAGATTATCTTCTATTTTCTATCTGCAATGCCTCATCCTCCTCTGTTTAAGGACAGCTCCAAAGACTGGGTCAGTTTCAGGGCCAAGACCATGTTTCTTCAAGTATAACCCAAGTTCATTAGACTCTTGGATCTTAGATCATGCAAATGCAGCAGGGGCCTTCTGTTCATGCCCTTCCTAGTGACCTCCTGGGAGGTTTGCCAGCAGGTAGTGAACACGGATGATTGGGCTAAAAGGTTTGCATGTAATGCCCAGTGAAATAAGCAGTCTTGGGAAACAGCCTTACCTATGCTGAAGGGTCTGGAGGAAATATTCATCGACTTGGTTTCCAGAACACACCAGATGGTCACATTGTACACGTCCTCTGGGAATGGGAGCGACAGGCTGGTGGAGACGCTGAATAGTTCTGTGACGTTGTCTTGTGATATCTCCATGTCGTCGCCGTGCTTATTAGTTGAGTTAATGATCAAAAAATACATCTTCATAGGTTTTGGAAAACCGTGCTCAGATGAGCAGGTCAAATTTATGCCAGAATTTCTCGTTACATTCTGAGCCAACTCTATTTCAGGTTCACTGAAGTTAGCTGGAAGTAGAACAAGGATGGAAGCAGTCAGTCTAAATGTAGGCATATTTACAGAGGAATGGTAAATAGATAACATCAACACCCCTGACTGGGGAACCCCAGGCTATCTCAAAATGTATACAGTGTGGGCCTCAGCCCATAGTGAGAGCTACATAGTAAGCCTAACATTTATCTTTCAAGAAATCCACTTCTTGTTTACGTCAAGAGAGTGCTCTCCGAGAGATGGGCTAGCCGAAATTATCTTACCAAGGTCTATAGCGAAGCCACCACTCTAACAAGTGGGGCTCAGTGGAGACCTTAACTAGGGGGCCTGCAGAAAAGCATTTCAACCTACCACTCAGGGATGGAGCTAAAATTCCATCAGGAGCTCACCGGGTTTACAGTCCTTGCCTGCTCTGGGTCTCATCCTTAATAACTAAGAATAAGACTAATAAGTGGGGTCTTTGTGCTTACAAACTCAGAATATTGTTTTTCGACATGACTATCATGGCGGCGTCATCATGCATGGCAATGGCCCATAGTTCTCAACCTGTGGGTCGCAACCCTTTGGGAGGTTCACGTGTTAGACATCCTGCATGTCAGATGTTTATGACTCATAAAAGTAGCGACAGTACGGTCACAAAGTAGCAACAATCATTTTATGGCTGGGAGACACCACAGCATAATGAAGTGTATTGAAGGGTTGTGGCCTTAGGAAGGTTGAGGACCATTGAGCTATAAGAATTCACCCATCTTGGGGGCAAATTCAGTGTTCTCTCACCTTCCTTTTCCGCTCACGTTTTTAGGGCTGAAATGCACTGGCACATAGACCCTGGGACCTGACAAATGTGCAGATTCTGTATACTAATTGATAATTCAGGATGGGGCTGAAGAGATGGCTCAGCCATTCAAGGCTGGGCTCAGAGCCAAAAAGAGAATATAGTGTATTGTTTTTAAAAATGGAAGTCCCTTGCATGTCATCTTTTTTTTGTTTGTTTGTTTTAATTTGAGTTTTGCAGCATTGCTGTGCTCTTTGAACATTCTCCTGATGCTTGGAGAGGATCACTAGATTCTCTCTAGCTTCATCAACAATACCTTTTGCAGTCATGGGTTAAGTTGTAGTACTAATACACATTATAATAAATAGTGTCAGATTTTAAAAGCTTGTCTGGGCCCCTCCTAAAGTACACTGTTTCTCCAAAGGTGCCAGCCACACACTGAGAACACTGACTTAGGACCCTCATTTGAGTTGTGTTGCACTCCTTTCTAGGTCTGATTTTGCCTGTTTTATCCCTTGGCTTTGGGAAACTTTCATTCTAGGAGGAAAGGCTGCTTCTCAAGATGGGTTGGTCTGCCTTTTCCAAGTTAATGAAGAATTCACCTGGATCCAGCAATACCACACCTTGGCGTCTACACTAGAGAAACACAAGCTTCCGTTGACACAGAGGCTCAATTTGGCACAGCTTCAAACTGGAAACAACCCGGTGTCTTTCAGTGATTTACAGTACAATGTAATCCACTGATTAAAAAAAAAATTCAAATTTTTTATAACACTCAACTTAGGTGAAACACAAAAGGCATTTTGCGGAATGAAAAAAGTTAGTCTTAAAGACTAAACACACACATTCAGCCCCATATATGCTGTTCCCAAAGTGACAGAACTCTAAGACCCAAAGCAAGAGCTATGTATGAACACAGAATGATTCCATAAAGGAACTATGCCAGAGGGGATTTCTCAGTGTGATGGAAATGACCTGAATCTTATCTATCATGGCTGTTCCAAATGTCTATACAGAATCAATAAAACTAATATAAATGTACTCAAATGATAGAGTAAAATTACTGTATGCTAGTTTCAAAAGTCTGTAAGGTCATGCAGGCTTTTCAAAGCCTGGTGAAGCTGAGAAGATGGTTTTGTGGATTCTGTTCAGTGTCTGCTTCTGTCTGCTGGTCTCATGGTTGGGGCTCAAAAACTCATAAACAACCTATGGAAAGTTGAAGGGAAAGCCCACATTAGTTAGCTGTCACCCTTGGCAGGAAATCCAGACCACGGTGTGTGTGTGTGTGTGTGTGTGTGTGTGTTTGTGTCTCTGTGTGCATGCATGTGTGTATATGTGTATGTGTTTGTGTGTATGTGTGTGTGTATGTGTGTCCACATGTGTGGTACATATCTGTGTGTGTTTGTCTCTTTGTATGTGCTCATGTATGAGTGTCTGTGCATGTGTGTGTAGTTTGCACACACTCGGAGGTGAATGTCAGTTGTCTCTCCTCTATCATTCTTGACCTTTCTTGGTTTTTAGCAGTCTCTCATTGGACCTGACGCTCACTGATCCTATTAGGTTGGCTGGCCAGTGAGCTCCAGGGATCCTCTTGTCTCCGCACCCCACTTCCTTCCTCTGCGTTCTGAGGCTAAAAGTACATGCCACTGTGCTTGGCCTTTTACACAGCTTCTGGGACTCCCAAGTCAGGTCCTCATGTTGTGAACAGGCATTTTATTCGCCGAGTAGCCCTGGACTACTGTGAGTGAAAGATGTTAGACTAACTACAAGGAGAAAGCGTGTGCGATGCCACATGGCCCATTGCTTTAATCTGGCTTTACTTTTGGTCCACTAGCTCTATCTTGTCTCCAAAGAGAATTCTCCCTGATCCCCAAGAAACAGACATTGAGGTACAAAGGGCGTTCCGCTCCCCACTCTCGGACCCCACATTCCCTTCAAATGGACTTCCTAGAAGTGGCTCTCTAGTGCCTTCTTTACCAGTCCATTCAAATCCCCACCCTTGATGTTTGCTCATCCACCATCTCATCCAAGCAGGCAAACAATCTAAACACAACACTGACCACATACCGACCACCGACAGCTCCATGTTTGTCTGCTGGAGGATGACGGATCCCGTGGGTCTTTTTTGTTGGATATAGCAGTCATATGAGCCCATGTCCGTGATCTGAACGTTGGGAAGCCGTAAAGCCCAGTTATGCTCATCAAAGCTCGTGCGGCCAAGGTACTTGGCATTCACGCTATTAGATTTCTCTCTGCCCAGATAGTGCTCATACAGAACCAGCTGTTTCTGGTCCTGCCAAAATACGACTAGCTCGCTCAGGCTCATGTTCTGAGCCTTTGAATGTGGGCACGGCAGGCATGCAGTGCTATTGAAATAAGCTTGTATCTTCATGGAAGCAGCGCCTAAAATAGGACAAGTGAGAATTAGGGAGGAGGAGACAAAAAGGAAGATGCTCCGTCCCTCTAGCACAGCACCCGGCCTCCAGCTCATCAGTGAGGGACAGGACTAGAGAGCTGGATGCCGGGATATGGGAACTGGACATCCTTGCTGGACACCTGGAGCTTAGACCTCCACTGTCCACTTGTGCAAGCTGCAACCCTTTTGAGTCTCAGCTTTCTCACCTATTAAGGAGGTGGTTCTGTGAATTTCCAAACCGGAGTACTGACCATCACCATCATGGTCGTTACAGGCCTCCATAACTGCTATGTCATCCCCCTAAACCCTCCCGACCCCATGTTATCCCCTTATTCTTTGGTCTGCTATAATGAAAACAAGAAGAGATTGTTGCTGACGGTAACACACTCGCTGCCACGCTGTCATTGTTCTCCATTAGTTGGGAGGCCCACTGAGTGACCTCTTTGAAACTCAACTATAGCCTGCTCCCCTGGCTGCAGGTTTCAGGGCCAGAAATGGGGTTTCAAAGTGACTCAAGTAGTCAGGCAATATTTCTATTCTCAGTGACCTCTCTAGCCTCTTTCGGGGACCAGAAATGGAACTGGGCAAATGTAGCGGTTGTTGGGAGATCGTGGTGGTCAGGGTATTTAAGGGACATGAGTGAACCGCTTGGAGCGACTATAGGTGGAAAGATGACAATGTGCCTTGTCACATCGGAGAAACCCCTGAGAAACCAACTCGCTTCTCCCAGGCTGCACTGCCCTGGAAATGTTTTATAACCCGAAAGGAACACACTGGAAAAGTTTAGAGAAAGAACATGCTTGCATAAGCCAACTTGCAGGACTTTTCCTGAGGCCACAGGGTTTCTTGAGACTCAGCAAAGAAAGTAAATGGGGAGGGGGGGAAGAGAAGGGAGAGGTGTGCTGCTATTGGCTCACAGGAAGTTGGATGCTGCCTTGGGGATAAGACTGAAGTAGGTTCTTCATGAATAGACATTCGTCTTTCAGGACTTCAGGAACAGAGGGAAGGGGCGGGCAGTGGTGAGGGAGATGAGGGGATTCCCACTCAAAGTGTTGGTGTTCGGGAGAAGTTAAATTGACCTGATCAGTTGGCCTCGCTTTAAGCAGGTAGACAGGTACGACAATGGTATGCACTCTGCAAAGCTGAGCTTCCTGCAGACCGCCCCACGAGAACCTATGATCGAGAGGTTGCCAGGTCTCAGGGGATGCTACAGGTACCGGTGACTGGAGAGAGGAGGGAAATCACCGGGTTCCCACAACAGTGAAAAAAAAAACGGGACCTACGGAAAACGTATTGCCTTTGGCCTTCTGCTAGACCTCGGCTCATCTTGGGAGTGAGAGGCGAGAGCGCCACCTACTGTAAATGCTCGCAGTGCTGTGAGCGTCGGACCCTGTGGAGATCAGGCACGGTCTGGTTTGGGTCTAATATATTGCGTGATTCTGGGCAGGCGATCTAATAGAGAAACCAAGCAGGCTGCTCAAGCGCTGACCAGCTGTTGGTTGGTATGGCATTATTGCTGTCAGTTGCATTGGCTGGGTCAGGAAGTGAAGTCACCCTGAGTTTTTTACATCTTCTTGACACACACACATTTTTTTTTTTCTCCTCTGTGGAGAAACACAGTACCTGCTTTCCTTTCCATCCACTCTCTCTACAAATGGACAAATACAACTTCTCCGACCCAGGACCCTTCTCCCAAAGATAACAGGGACTTTGTCCTCCTCTCAGCAACCTCTTTACCCACCAATACAAAGTAGACCAAAGCCACTGGCATCATCTGTGGGCTGGTCAGACACAAAGAGTCTCTAGTTCCACCCAAGATCTGAATCAGAATCTGCACTCTACCAAGAACTCCTATTTGGGAAGTTGAGGGGATCTGAGCAGATGACCCGACATATTCATTTCTGTCCTCTTCAGATGCCTTCTTCTCTCCATCAGTGGATATCACTCTGTAACCATTCTGAGTGAAACTGAAAGTATTTTACAGTCTACACGCTTTGCTTCATCACCAGATCCCCCCTTTTTTTTATGTCACTGAATCAGGCAGGCACATCTTAACTGTGACCATATGGAAAAGATATGACTCAAGTTCTGTTTTTTCCTAGTGGCCTTAGGACCTTCACTGTTTCAGTCCTCAGAAGTCTGGCCCTCTAAGCGAGTGAACTCCCTAGGATTCCATTGGTGGAGAGCACTGAGAATCCCTCCCTCTGCTGACACTTGGTTTAGATTTACTTGTGAGTTATTGTTATGGTGAGGCCAGGAGCTGGGACACTGGAATCCAGTCAGGTACCCCTCCTGCCCAGTCAGGAAAGAGTGATCAAAATACTAAAGGACCTCTGCAGAAAGAAACCATCAGAGCCCATAGGCTGAGAACCTTGTGAGTTTATGACCCCACCAGAATGTCAGCCTTCCCTGGTCATTCCAACAAACTCAAGCCGTGCTTTAATAATCTCTTCTTCATTTACTATACTTATTACACTCAAAGCTTTCCCTTCTTTTTGTCAACTTCCTCCAAGGACTTTCTAGGCCTGCTGAAAGCCCCATTATTCCGCTGTACCACACCCCTCTATGGCTGTCCAATAAATATTCCTCTCAATGTCCTTTCCATGGAGTCTGGTTCTACCCAAAGGACTCCGTGTGGCCCCCAGACACTGCTGGCTTTGTCAACAAGGACCCTGAGCAGTTCATCTCCACTCAGAGGTTGGCTCCTATCTCATGGCATGAACCACTGATAATTGGTCACTACCTCTTCATTCAAGGAAGATTTTGGCATTACATTCAAGTCTGTTCTTTCTAACCAGTTCAGCACAACTGCCAAGATAACCTAACAGTTTCTTCTCCAACAACCGGTCTACCCACAACCTTGAATCAAAGTTGCTTGACTTCATCAGCCTCAAAGACTTTCACCCATGGACCAGTTTAGCAGCTTTCCCATGACACAATCCTGAGCGGTGTCACAGGAAGCTTAATGCCTCAGATCTTGGCCTCAGCACACTCATCTCTGCCCATCACGTGTGATTCCTCCAGTTTTTACTCTCACTTTCTCTATCTGCTCTTCAACTTCATTGAGACTTTAGCTCTCTTAGACCTGTCTTGACCTCATAGTGCATTGTTCCTCACAAAGAATTCTTTGAGATGAGAGGATTTTTATCTGGTTTTGAACAATGTTGTAAGTGATAAATAGTAAATGTGACTGAGAAACTGGATTCTTTTTTACAGTGCTGGAGAGAGAAATTAATGTTTTTCATCTTGTTTACTTTTAATTAATTAAAGCTCAATGAGTCACATATGGTTCGTGGCTATTATACTGGACAGCAGTGTAATAGGACTTTTAAACCATCTTTTTTTCACCAGTAAAAAGCCAGTAAATATGCTTCTTTGCCTTGGTGGACATCATACCAAAGAAACGACTTTGAGTCTATAGATCTGATTCTATAACTGGGTGAATGAGCACCCTTAGAGGAAATAATTTCCTTGAACAGACAGGGAATTGGCGATATTCTTCTTCTCTTGGCCTTCAGTCTCACCATCCTGTCTCAAATGGGTCCCCTCTGTCCTCACTCTTCATTTCCTGAGCGAGCAGAAACAGCTTCCTCCCTCTACATGGCTCACGCCCACACCTCTCCTGAAGCTTTTCTGACAAAAGATGTGAGCAGCTTCCACCAAGGGCAGCCCAGTGCTCTTGATGTGACCTCGCCCACCTGACCCTTGCACCAAAAGGAGCACAGTTTTGGCATCCAGCCTTCTTGGAATTAACTTTCTCAGTCTGATTTCCTGGTTCATATGTCTGTTCTCTCTGTGTGACCATTGATTCAACTGCCAAGGAGAAGAAGCTAAAAGATGCTGATCTCTAGTCCACAGCCTTCACTGGAGTCCCAGACACTGTATCCAATGGCCTGCTGGATGTTTTCACTTAACACAGCAAGGAAAACACTCTGCTTCCTCTTAAATCTGAAAAGGCCCCAAGACGGTGGCTAAACTAAAGTGACCCTTTGGGTACAACAGGTTTGAACTGTACCCCAGGTACTTGATTGAGTGATGTAAACAATGACAAGAAATTGGCACCAAGAGGAAACACATAAATGCTGTTTGCATCCAAGCATCGAAGCCAGAACCTTCTTCTGGGGGTAAGACAGTAGGCCTTTCCACAGAATGTGGAATGAGAGTCTGAGGCTGTTTACGAACGTGTTTAATTGAAGATTCTTCTCTAGGTTAATTGTTAGAACCTGGAAAAGCCTCAGACAAGAAGGAGTAACTGTCAGGGGACCAAGTGGACCAGGCAAGGGCGTCAAAGCTACTCGACAGCCAGGCTGGAGGATCCCTAGAGGAAGGGCCAATGAGACGGCTCGGAAGGTTGTTGCAACAAGCCTGGTGACTTGAACCCACATAGAGGTGGAAGAAGAGAACCGATTCCATGATTCCACGAGGTGGTCCTTTGTCTGCCTCACTTACTCCACCTGATCAGGGGCAGCAGCAAAGGACTCTAACTGTCAGGCAGAGAGAAGATGTGAAAGGTGTAGGGGGCAGGGCAGAACTGTTTTGCTCCATGTCTTATCTGTCATCGTACATTTCCCAGCCTTGCTCCCTTCTACCCCCTGGGAGGATTAATGCCAACTGCACCTTCTTTCTCTGGGTCCTACCTCAGAAAGCAGAGGTGTGACCTGAGAGAAGAGACAGATTAATTTCCAATATAATTTTTTTTGTATGTTTAAAAAGGGGTAGCTTTTAATTTGATAACACACTCTAAGTCGATTTAGTGCTATTCATGAGCACGTGTGTGTGGATCATCTACTGGGACATAGACACCAATGTCCCCACCCCAAGAAAAGTGGCTCTCCCTCAGTAGCCAGCTGCTGCCATTAGCTCCGGCACCTAGGGATGGGGAGCAACCCGCCCCTCCCTGCTTCTTGCTGGAACCTTTAACTCTCTTGCCCTTATGGTTGCCCTGTGCAGACAGCCACAGCTCCTGTGAATTCACACGTGTAACAGCCATTTCATGTCCAGAGGCCAGTGGCCACAGAACTCCTCCCCATCCTCTGGATTTTCCATCCTTTTCACCCTTCTTCTCTACAGTGATG